CATTATAGGGAGATAATATAGTAACTTAATTTAAGTTCCTTAACAGCAACCCAGTTTAGAGTCCAAGGTTTAGGACTCGGGTTTAGGGTCTCAGGGTTTACTGTAGGGATTTCGGGCTCGGGGATAACCAAGGGTGACGCCCTAATATAGGCACTTCTCGCGTAAACCTACACAACCCCAGTTTGCATTTCAAGTTCGATTTCGCTTCCTTTTGAGTTGCCATTCTTGGATAGTTCAACCTCCTTACTGTGCTACGACCAGGATAGCAAAGACATGATGATGCTTACCAGTGGCATTGTAAAACGCTGAAGAAGGCAACGAATTCACTGAACACCCGCCCTAAATCCAAAACATCCGACTCCAACCCACACCTGTCAACATCAGCTCCTGCAAATGCTCCGTGAAAAACTAGGGCGCACTGTCCTATTCTACTGCCGGGAACCCATGGCACAGGTCATGATGTTGGCTGCTCCCGCGGTTTGTAGCTGTCAAGGATTGGAAGTGCTCTCATGTCATCTTTGAGGAGTTCAAAAGAATCGCCATACCTGCTCCATGCAGCTCTTGCACACTAGCGGCCAGTGACATAGTAGAAGCCCTGGCGCGCTTGACATACCTTCCGCTTAAATGTCCTAGCATATGCCCCTGAACCCGGAACCCGAAGCTGTTTCTGAATCTAGGGTCCCCTCGGTGGATATGTGGCAATTCTCAAGCCAGGGCACACTGTTGACCCGGTAGACGGACTTCTGGGAAGTCTTCCACCTAAGGATAACCTGCTCGGTATTCTCCTCTAGGAGCACCTGGCACATGTTTCCCAGGTTTCTGAGCTACCTCTTACATATTTTGTACTTTGCATGACATCAGACTATTAGAAGTAGATGGTACTCTTCAGAACTGGAGAGCAAGGGAGATGAATGTTGCTGCAGCCATAGCCCTAGAGCCAGATTCTCAACTTGCGAGGTAAAACCTAATTCAGGTCCATTCCCCCAAACCCTAAACCCTCTGAATTAGGGTTCATTCCTGTAAGGGAATTTAGATAGGACAGACCGCTAGGTCTCCAGGGTTCCTGAGGGATCTACCTGACTAGGTTTAGGGCTTAGGGTCTGGCATTTAGGGGTTTAGGGATTAGAGTTTTGGGGTTTGTGAGTTTAGGGGTCTAAACCCTAAAACCCTAAACCCTAAACCGGTTTGATGGCTTGCAACTGGTAAGCTCCTGCAAGACTTGCGGCGCGCACTATTCACTATTGCTCTGGGGGTGCATCCTGCACAAGACATAATATCGGTTGTTCTTAAAATTATGGGCCCTTTTTTGTTCTGGATGATATTGCGGCACCTCATATTTAGGGGTACCCAAATGGGACCCTATTTGGGGGGGATTACCCATATGTTTTGTGAGTTACAGTGCGGGGCTTCTGGTGCAACTCCTGATCTCTTCCACCACCATCCTTCCCGAGTTTTCTTGAAAATGCCAGCTAGATATAGTCCCCCTTAAGCAGCTAGAATTTGGGGTATATCAGGATCTTGCTAAATATACCAAAGCCATATTCTATCTACTTAAGGGGGACTATAAACCCAATATTATACTATAGTAGTTTCCATTTTCTTTTCCATTATCCCTATATATATCCCCAATATAACCCTAATATTCTATCTACTTAAGGGGGACTACAGTCCAACATCATCCCTGGTCAAGCTTTGTTTGCAGCACGTTTTTCCCAGGGGAAGGGTAGGAAGGGGTCGGGTAGGACTCAGGCTCCAACAGCCCTGCGATTGGGTGTGGATTACAACCCCAAACCCAGAACCATGTGCCTCTTTCTGACAAAAACTTCACCCAATTGGATTCTCAGGAGACTCTCACGTCAATCCTAAATGCCCTAAGCCACCCCAACTGATCTCTGAAACCTAGACCCCACACCCCAATCCCCCAAACCCTGAACCGCAAACCCACCCGTACTTGCCTTGATTTCCTGACCGGCGAGGCGGCGCTTGTTCAGACCTCAACGGAACGATCAAAGAGTTGCCCCCAACATACCATACTCATACTCTGACTGGGGCTTAGTAGGGAATAAGGGAACCTTTTGCGGTACTAGGGAATAACAGAATATTTGGTTTAGGTTAATTAGTAGGAAAAGGGAATATTATATCATAGGGATCATACTTCCTTCTTCCGAACAAAGAACCCGTAAATACTTCAATGTCCATGGTTCCTCCATGGCCATGCACATTATGCAGGCCTCTTGAACCTTAAGGGTCCACGTCCTCAACAGTCATATCCTTGCCCAGAACCTGCACTATAATGACTCTTGCCCCAACCCCGAGTACCTAATCATTGGGTATTTGGACCCTCTGCGGAATATGGGTAGTTTCCCCATTTGTTTCTGGGCCATTGCATCCTACACCCCTGCAACCTGGAAACCCCTAAGCCCTAAGCCGCAGCCTCAATATTCAATAGGAAGGTGCAGTAGTCGCTACCCCCAAACGAGAGCGTCCTATCAGAACCATATGAGCTATAGTCCAGACTCATTAAAGGGGGTTCTATAGGGGATTACATAGGGAACTATTATAGGGCTTATTAAGGGGGATACTAGGAGTTTAGACTATAGCTCATATGATAGCTATAGCGTCCCAATTCGGCGATTGGGGTTACCAAACTCCCTTTTTATGGCAAACCTTCACAGCCCCTGCCTAAACCTCAAACCCGACTATTGTATCCCAAATCCACTGTACTCCAACAACCCTACAGTGCACGGCACGGCCCTTTTGATTTCGAAGCCGGTTGTAGCACTAGCAACCTAACCTATGCCGAAAATGTCCCATACGGGGTTTCCCGAATTTAGAGGGGGTACCTTGTTGGGGTCCCAAAAACAAGGATTATCGTATTTTGGGATCTTTATCGGGGTCGGGGCCTCCCTATTTAAGGAAAATAACCACATTCATGCTGAAAGCTCCAAAGTCATACGGCGCCCTAAGCTCGAAACCCTACACCAAATCCCTGGCGACAAGCCCCAAAACTGAATACACTCTCCCAGACTTTGACCTGGTACCCCATATAGCACAATTCGAGGTAGCCTGTTAGTTTGGGAAGTATATCCCTTTTGAAAGATGAGGTCCCCTACATCACCCGAATACAGCTCACAATGGGGGCTCCTGACAGGGAACACCTACTTCCAGAGACGCCCTTTAGCGCACACCCAAGTTGCAGGTATAAGCTTTCCACGCCGACTCTGCGTCCGCGAACTGGGCTACACCGAAGCTCATTGGCCCTTGGGCGTCCAACTGTGCATGGAATCTTTGGACGCATGCGGGTCTCAGGGCCTCCCGTTGAGAGTTTAGGATGTTGGCGTTCGGGCTTGTAAGGGCAACAATAGGACGGAGTCTCCGGTTCTAGCATGGAGGCCTTAGGAATTGGGCTCAGGATGAATTAACTCCTCCGGGATTCCGGAGTGTGGGGTTGCTGCCAGAATTAGAGGATTTGGGTCGCCCTGACAATGAGGAGCCTATAAGAACCACATGATAGCCATAGGTTCCTTTTTTAGGTGGTGCGGCTTACCAAAATCCAGTTTAAGGTCTTTGGTCAGGCTCGAGTGTTGAGGGCGTCAAGGTTTAGGGCATCCCAAATCCCGAAACACAAACGTAACTACACAAGCCATGCTCTTGACATGCTCGGGACAGCACCAAAACCCAGAAAGACTGGACCCTAAACCCTAAAACTGTACCCTACGCCTACAGGCCCCTCGAAAAGGCCCCTGGTACGTACTTGTAGGGCCCTATTCCGGGCTCCATCTTAGCTTGGATACTCTTGGGATACGGTACACATAAAGCAGAAGCTGTTCTTCAACAACAAGCCAGCTAGCAATACCCTATCCCTGAACTCTTAACAACATCTCATCATACTTGGCACATGGCCTCCCAAGCTTTGAGAGCTCATCTCGTCGAAGTCATGAAAGGCCTCTAGAAGACCAGCTTATGGTTTAAGGTACGCCTATCAAAAAGGCCACAAATCCTGAAATCTATATAACTCTGAAATCATAACCGTTAAGTCCGATTCGTTTGTGCCGCACATATTACTTACATCCGGTCTCTCTCTCTTTCTCCCCTCAGCGGGTTTCCCTCCAAAACGCTCCATGGAATCCCTTGTGTGCTAGGGCGCAGTGCCTGGAAGCATGCCCCACCAGTACACCCATCCACCGATTGGGTCCAGATACCTACAAAATCTACAATTTGCCCCAAAGTGCTTGCACAGGAACAAGTACATACCATATTGGTCCGCGAACCATTTGGGACCCAAAACCCTTCACGAATTGGGATATACTTGCCGTGAACCTTCGAAAACAATCTCCGGGACCATCCATAGAATCCTGAATGAAGTGGGAGTGTTCAGTCTACAATGGGGCCGCCTAGCTCCATGGAAACTACCAGGATCACCCTAAAACCCCATACCCTGAACCCGCATGCCTCAGCCCCAAGCCATAAACCACGAAACCCTAATCCCTAAGCCCCTAGTTACGGAGTCCCTCAACTGCGGCCGTGGATCGACCCTCGTTGTCCTTACCTCGCCGAAAAGCCTATCCAGCGCGAAAGGTTAGGGCATGCAGGTACAAGGGTTTAGGGTTTGTAAGGGTTTAGGGTTCAGGGTTTAGGCTAGTGGGTGTAGGGTTTACGTGGGGGGGTCAAGGGACTTGGTAAACACAATTCTAATCCCTATAAACCACGCAATAACCTCAGTTCTCCTCATTATTACCCTACTTATAAGGCCCCCTGATCCTCCGAGTAGGTGTTAGGATTTGGCTTCGCGAAGGGCCAAGGTACCCGTTTTTAGTATGCATGTGGCCCAAGAAGTGCTTCATGACAAGGGACCTTGGGGTTAAGTATATAGCGAAAATACCTAACTCCTAAACCCTGAACCCTAAATCCTAAACCTTACGACATGGGTGCCGGAACCTTTCCGGAATGGCCTTGGGAAATATAGATCATAGGAACGAGGGCTTGGATTTGCACGCGCACGGTCCAAAGCAGGTGGAACATACGCGACTGATGCGGAGAGGGAAATCTCAAGGGACAAATGCGCTCCTTGATCCCCTCCCCCTAACTAGAAATCCCCCAACTCCCTGGAGTTAATTATTCCCGATATGTCATAGTATACTACACGAGGAGTGTTCACTAGCAGTGGGTGGGAGGCTTCATCAGTAGGCGAGCAGGTGATCTCACTCCCTGAAGTCTTCCAATCAGAGGCGGCCTGTTACCAACTGCGCTCGGGTTTAGAGCTTAGGGTTTAGGGTTTGGGGTTTAGGGTGTAGCATTGGTCAGCTGGACGCATCAGTATGCAGACTTGCCCACCCCAAGGCCACCCAAACACTACTCACAGCGAGCCAAAAAGAGCCAACCAAACCAAAGCCAGACAAACCAATTTTTCTTTGGATTCGCAAATCCCTCCACTGTGCATCGGGACGGATCTCAGGAAACAATCAAGGATCACGATGACCAAGGAAACGTTGGGCTTGGCGATAAAGAGTTGCAGAGCCCTCTCAAGTCAAAGCTCCTCTCCGGGTCGGGTGGCTGCCTGCCATAACTTGCAAGTGCGTGTTCGTTCAATTGTTACGCAAATGCCTCGACGAAAACGTAGGTTTTGCATTGGGGGACGGTCTGGGCCGAAGGGCCCTTTCACAGTTTTACCCCGCTCCGGGTCACGTGAGCTGCCCGCAATCGTCATATCTCGATTCCTGGAAATGGTGTGGCTCTTGTCTGCGAGAGGCTTGAAAACGCTCAGAAACGGTTTGAAAGAGGCTCGGCACGGATGCTCAGACACGGT